CAAAGGGCTGACTTCCAGTCCCTTGCTAGGCATGCAACACATGCTTTTAACAAGAGAGATGAGACAGAACCTTCTGTGATAAAGAATATCACCCATGGGATCCATTATTGAACTACACCAAACTACATTTAAAAATCTGTTTTTAAAAATCACAGCACTACTTCAGGCAATAAAAAGACTACCATAAAATTACACAGCACAATCTTGTCTTAAAGAAGCACTAAGTCTATTCTAGAATATAGTTAACATGCCATTGCTATACATGCCAATCTGGGTGTCCCTGAATAAGTGCTGTGGGAGTTCAGAGGAGGGAGGACAGTGACGGTGGCCTGCCTGAGCCTCAACCGATGGGATGGGATTTGGAAAATCCTACTGGGTTCCTCTGACACTGTCCCCTTCATAAAGAGTGGAGTCACAGTCACTAATTGCACGCTAATGTGCAAAGGGGAAGCTCGCAATCAGTGTTGAGAAATGCTAGGGAATCTCCATTGTCAAGCTCAGAGAACAGCTAAGAAACTTATAGGCTCCCAGGCCAAAGTGTGCAATGTCCACACAGCCAGAGTTGGAGGGGTTGGGCAGGACAGTAAGAGGCGGAAAAGGGTCTGGGGTGGGCACCACTACCTTGAATCAGGCTGAGGATGCTGAGGAGATTAGAATCAAGAGCATCCCTTTATCCACCTGACAACATGGTGCATCTACCACAAAGCTCTCCAGTCCTGCCCTGGATACTGTGGAAACTCTTGATCTGGAACCTTCTACGGGGGCCTATAACTGCTGGAGAACCAAGAAAATCCTTGAGGAGGATTATCCCGAGAAGGGAGTCTGAAGGTTATATGGTCCAATTCTACCACTTTTCAGACAGATATCCAAGAACCAGAGAGAGGAAATGATTTTCCCGAGGTCGCATAATGAGTTATAGCAGAGACAAGATTGGAACCTAGGTCTTCTACCTCTAAAATCACTTTTTTCTTAGAAGCATCTGGCACATGGAAAAGGGCTCCAGGAGGAAGCTTCTGGAATAGTTCCAAAATGAAGTTGCTCTGCCTTTCCTTACCAACACCCTACCCAGTTATAACCCCTGAGAGTCGTTCCCACCCAGTTCAAGAGATTGCCGATATTCCTAAAAGTCGGTGGACTCCAAATGCCAATGATGAGAACAGCCAAAACCTGTGGGTTGGAGGGAGAGTTTGGTGAGGAATTCTATGCCTCTCTTGGGGAATTCGGAATAACAGAATGGTTAAGCAATGGACAGCGTGCCACAAAAAAAGCCCTGCACTTCAGAGTCTCAGATGCCCAAGTTTAAATCTCTCTTAGGCAGTTTAATCTCTTCATTTTACACTTGAGAAAACTGAGGCTCCGAGAAGAGAAGCCATATCATGTAGGGAGCTGGTAAAGAGCTAAGTTCACTGCACTGCCCAACTGAATGTTCTTTATGACTCTGGAGAAAAGGAAAGCTATTCTACTTACTTGTCCTTCTCCCTTCCAGTCCTATGTAATCTTGGACTTTCTTCCCTTGTTTTAGGTATAGCCTCATCTCAGTCTTAGTCTTGGTTTTAACTGTAGAGAACAGGAGTGTAATCTAACCTTAACTTCTTCTATACTGTAAGCTCTTTGGGGACAGGAATCACCTTGTATCGGTCAGGGTTGACACAAACAAGACCCACTCTAGGTTTTCCAAACAAAAAGAATTTAACACGGGAAGTGAGTTACACAGCTGATGAAAGAGCTAAGAAGTCAAACAAGAGATGGTGAAGGCACAAGAGATTCATAACAGCAGGACGTTGCCATTATTCCTAAAGCTGGAAGGACACAGGGAGAAGGAGGTGTTCCCAGAGCCCAGAAACTAGGGCAGGATATGGAGCCAAGGTGGGAGTCACTCTTCTGGAGCTGGCTGGGGATACCACTGGAAACAGAGAGAGGAAAGAAACATCCTAGTGATGGAAAAAAGTATCCCATGCAAACAGTGCCCTAGATTTACCCTGATACCAAAATCACAGAAATACATCACAAGAAAATGAAACTATAGACCAACATCCCTTATAAATATAGGTACAAAAAGTCTTAACAAAATATTTTAATACACCAGATCCAGCAACATATTAAAAAAAAAGATTATACACCATGACCAAGAATTCAAGGTTGGTTCAACATACAAAATCAACCTGTGTAATACATCATATTTAATAGAATAAAGGACAAAAAACTAAAGTCATCTCAATGGACACAGAAAAAGTATTTAACAAAATCTTACAAACCAGGAATGGAAGGAAACATGACATATAAAAATTAATTCAAAATGGACCAGAGCTAACTGTCAAAGCTAAAACTATAAAACATTTAGAAGAAAACATAGAAATAAACTTTTGTGAACTTGAATTATGCAATTATTTCTTTGATGTGACACCAAAAGTATAAATGACAGAAGAAAAATAAATGAATTGGACCTCAACATTTTGAAGTTTTGTGCTTCAAAGGACACCATCAAGAAAGTGAAAAGACAATCCATAGAATGGGAAAAAATATTTACAAATCATACATCTGATAAAGACCTTGTATCCAGAATATATCAAGAACTCTTACAACTCAACGATAAAAAACAATAACCCAATTCAGGCCCTTATCCTTGAGGGATCTGACCCTTTGTTGCCTTGCCTTTTGTCAGACCTTGATTGCCACCTGTTCACCATAACACCAGACATCAGTGCACCAACAGATGCCCCAGTGAAACCTTGAATTCCAGACACACTCTTCCCCATCTGCACCCTATATCAGCAACCCAGTTTCCTCGTAATAAGCAATGATAATTGCCCCCGTCAGTGTGGTAACTCCTTCGTTTGCCTTCTATTCCATTAGCATAAGAAACCCAAAGTGACAGATAACATTTACATGTGCAAGTTCAACAAAACCTTCAGTAAAGGGTTTTCTAATGGAAATATTTCCCCAGACCCCGAGAAGGCTCCAGGGCTGATGCAGTACAAATTCCAATACAGTCACTGGGAATGAGTCAATCCTTGGCTCTTGAACATTTGAATTCCAACCATTGAGGTATAGCATATCAATTATTGATTCAATATATACACAGCATTGCAGAGGACAGCGCTGTATTAATTGTGTTTTCTTATTTTCTGTATGGTGTGATGGTTTCACATCTTGGAGCCTTGCTCATTCTAAAGAGACTGTCTTCCCAGGGCTAGCTAATTCTTAACGATAGTGCATGGTTTGACTTCACGCACACCTGCAATATGTCAACCAATCAATCTAGAACCTACACTCCAAACCACCTCCTCTGGCTTTTATACTGCAGAAAACAATATTTTTCTGCCCCAGTCATCCTGAGGGCCAGGCATCAGACATCGAAGAGCAGCCCCTACACTCCAGAGCCTGCTAAAATTTCAAACTAGCCAATCCGAAACCTAGTCAGCCTGCACCCCTGCCTCACCCTTTCTTTCTCTTGAAATCCACGATAAAGCCTTTTGTTCATGCATTCCCTTTGCTCTGTCTGCCTCCTGACAGACCTAGCGCTTCCCTGTAAGAAAAATAAATACCGCAATTTAAAAACAAGCATTTCTCCAAAGAAAATATACAAATGGTCAATAAGCACATGTCATTAATCATTAGGATAATGCAAATCAAAACCACAGTGAGATGCCACTTCATACCCAGAATAAAAAGAACGGACAATAACATTTTGTGGAGGATGTGGAAGCTTTACACATTGCTGATGGAAATGTAAAATGGTGAGGCCACTTTGGAAAACAGTTTGATGGCTCCTCAAAATGTTAAACATGTAATTACCGCATGACCCAGCAATTCCACTTGCAGGCATATATCCAAGAGAATACGAGCATACATCCATACCAAAACTTGACATAAATATTCGTAGCAGCATTATTCATTATAACCAAAAAGTGGAAACAACCCAACTGTCCAACTGATGAAGAATAAACAAAATGTGGTCTATTCATACAGTGGAATATTATTGGGCCATGAAAAGAAATGAGGAAACAATACAATGCCATAACAAGAACAAACCTTGAAAACATTATGCAAAGTGAAAGGAGACAGACACAAATGGCACATTGTATGATTCTATTTATGTGAAAGTAGATTTGCGAGACGTAAAGTCGATTGTGGTTACCAGGGGCTGGGGCGGGGGCGGAGGGGAGATGGGGAGTCACTGCTAATGCGTGTGGGGGGCGTCCACAGGGGGAGGTGATAAAAAATGCTCTAAAATTAATTGTGGCAATGGTTTTTCAATTCTGTGAATATATAAAAGCCATTGGTTGGTACACTTTGAAAGGGCCAATTTTACATGTGAATTATATCTCAGTAAAGCTGTCATTTAAAAAAGCAAGGAAAGGAAGAGAAGGTGGAAGAGAAGAGGAAAAAAAGAAGAGAAAATCAAAAGAAAAGACAAAAGAAAGGTAAAGGAAAGGGAAGGGAAGGGAAGGGGAGGGGAGGGGAGATTACTCTATGACATTAACTTTCTAAAGCTCTTTTACTAGTGCCAGTCTAGGAAAAGGAAAAAGATACATCTCTTCTACCTTCCACTATCTGTCAGTGCCTCCCATTGGCCAAACTTACCCAGAAGCCAGAGGGTAAAGTAGTTTGGGAAATGTAGTCCCCTGTAACACCAGGCAGAGGCAAGAGAAGGATGGGGATACAGCTTTCACTCCACCGCCCCCCACCCCCACCCCGGCCACCACCATGTAATATTCAGGCTATAAACATTTGCTGAATCAATAAATGTCCCTATTCCCCTGCCTTGGGCTGTGCCCTTCTTCTTCACTCTGAGGCCACACTAGGGGCTTTTTAAATGTAAATGACGTGGTGATTCATAATCTTATGACCAGTAAGGAGGTCATCACTCCCTCACCTTCTCTTGCCCTTTAGTCTCAGAAGACACGGAAGGTGCCCCGGGTGAGGCTGGTCTGGAGGGGGCGGAGCAGGAGTGGGAGGGGCAGGGTAGAAGGTGCTCTCACAAGTTAAAAGGGGCTCAAACCGTTTCCTCCCCAGACAGGGGAGCACAAACCCCAGCACAGCCTTCCTGTGTGGTTTCAGCTGCCCAGAGAGTATCATGGACTTGGGTGAGTGAACCTTCCTGTAGGAGGAAGAACAGTACTGGGATCACTTTGACACCCAGACTGACTTTGTGGAATGGGGGCGGAGGATGCAGGTGGAAGGTGTGGGGGAGGAAAGCATGGGGGAACGTGCCGGAGAAGTCTGGTTCTGCTTTGGCAGGAATCGGCGGCTGCTCCCAGAGAATGCCACCCTGTTCTCCCAAGCACGAAAGGTGCATCTTTCAGACCTGGGGAAGGGAATGACCACTGGTACCAGGACAGACAAAGGGGTTGAGGTGGTGTCTTTTAGAACAGTAGGGACTGAAGAAGGCAGCAGGGCTGGGGTTGGTGGTGATCAGAACAGCACCTGATCTCCATCTCAGTTTGTGGTTTCATTAGGGAGCAATTCTCAGAGGGCTCCGGATCCTCCAATTCCCACCTTTCTCCCCTGCTAAGTAGGGATTGGAATCAGTTCTCTTGGGATTAGGAGAAGGAGCAAATTCAAGGCGACTGCGCTGGGCAAATGGTACTATGCAGTGCAAATGCAAGCTGGGTTGTTGTCTCTGCTGCACGTCCCACCAGCTTTGCCATTGCCCCTTGCAGGCTAAAGGCTGGGTGTGCAACATGAAATGAGACAGCAAGGGGCATTCAGCTTGGAGAAGTCACAGCTCAAGCCTCCAGCACAGCCTCTGCCTCACTCACACACTTTTTCTACCCAGGCAGATGACTCTTCTCTTTAAAAAACCCATCCTCTGGTGTAAGCTTGGTCTTAACTAGAGGGAATACAAGGGAAGCTCTGAGGCGGTTTTGAGGGGTTCGTCCAGAGACTGATATGATACCTGGTTTAGAAATCTCAGCTGTGCAGTAAGACCTGGCGAAGGTTGTGAAGGCCAGGCTCCAGGCTCGCTCTCACCAACAAGCAAGCTGCACGGCAGCCTCAAAGCCACAGAGGGTTGGCTTTTAAAAGTGAAGGTTCTCTGCTGCACCCCGCTGCTGTCCTCACACCCCTCACCGCCACACCACAGCTTCTTTCCTTCATCTCTGCCTTTCCCGCCCACCCAGAAATCTGGGTGGACTTAGCAAACAGCTGTGAAAGGGTTAAAGTAGCCACCTCACCCACTGACTGAACTCCTGAAAGGCAGAGTCTGATTCTTGCATCTCTGAATCCCAGGTACTTTGGAGGTGTGAGCAGAAAATGTTTATGGAATGAATGAATGGCGTCGAGAACTCCGACTTGATTTTAGTTTTTAAAATCTCTTCCGACTGATTCTCTTCCCAGCTGTCTACCCTCAAATCCCACTCCCCAGCCAGCTATCCCTCTCCCCCTCCCCGCCCCACCAGAGTCGCAGAATGTCGACGTCATCCACTGGAGACCCTGCTCCTAATTCTGACCTCTGCGAAGGGAACTGGGCCGTGTCCCAGCCGTGTGCTGGTAAACGCTGGAAAACCGGCTCCCCAGGGTGGATGACAGCCCTGATTGGTAGTGCTTGCCGATTTACTTAGTGTAAATTCTCCCGCCGTAGCTGACTTCAAGCGTGAAATGACTGAACACAGTGTTAGAGATGACATCACTGGCTAACGAGCTTGTGAAAGCCCGCTCCAGCACGCCAGGGAGGGTCCTCCCCCAGACCTAGGTTTGGGGGTGCTAGATGCATGGGTTTTGATGTGCGGAGGGAAGGTAACCTCTGGTCCAAGAGAAAGAGATGTTCTTGCTGCTTCACTCTACTCAAGAGGGCCCTAACGGCCAAGCCAGAAATACTGGTTGGAGGGAAAGCCACTGAGAAACTCTTGCTCAGAACAGGCTTTGCCGTTGGTAGGTCAGGTCTGTTTTTCAATCTTCCTCTGCCCAGCAAGAGCGGGGTGAGAGGGCAGACTTTCTGTTACACAAAATGAAAATGCCAGGGCTGAGCTCGTCTTTTTCACAATTTGAGTGAGCAGTCCTGAGGTGTCTTTCCCACTCTCAAGAAATGGATCCTAAGACGTCAGTTAGAATTCTCCAAAGCAAAGCAAAGAAAACCTTCAAGAGACTCCTCTCTCACAGCTTGGCCAGAAATGGTGGCAAACGCGGTGCCAAAGGGATTCAGGGCCAATCCCTTCTGGCCTTCTGGGAGCTTGGCTGGGGAGGAGGGGAGTGCTTCAGCCTAGGGGAGCTATTGGAAATATCTCCCCTCTTTGCTCGGTACTTTCTTTCAGTGAACGATCATTGACTGAAGAATTCAGGCATGACTAGTCTGGTGGGGAGAAAGACATGTTTATGTAAATACACCACTGCAACAGAGTGAGATACAGCGCTGCTGGGGCAAGGTCATTGTAAAGTTCAAAGAAAGGAATAGTGAACATGAGTCAGGGGAGCATTTAAGTTGGGTTTTGAAGTGTGTATAGGAGTTGTATACCAAACAAGGAGCAAGGGAGCCCAGGATGCAACAGGAATAGCAGACTCAATTGCCATCAGAGACCAGCAAGGTAAATGCAGGAATGGACATAAGATGGAGTAAGTGGAGGGAGGGAAGCAGAGTGAGCCGGAGGATGCAATACGCACTTACAGGCATCCAAATCCAATTTTATGTAAACTCTATGCAGCGAGCAGAGAATCTTGGGGCTCAGCCTGGATGGTCCCAAATAGTCAGCTCTGACCAAAGTTAATGGAGATAAGAAAAAAGCAAGTTGAGCATATAAAGACCCTGGCCATGCCAAGAAAAAAGGGAGGCAGGCGGGACAGGCAGAATTGATCCTTGAGATTTTGCATGGCATTGCCAAGGAGTTTGGGCTTCGTCCTAAAAGCGATGGGGAGCCAGTGAAGATTTTTCTTTTTCAATTGAGTAAAAGGACAAGATTTGTGTTTCAGAAGTTCTCTGGCAGTGAGGAGGAAGCAAAGCCTGATGTCAAGGCAGAGGTGGGGCCAGCTCTGAGATGCTGGGAGAGGGAGAAGCAACAGAACTGGGTGAATTGTGGGATGTGGGGGAGCGAGGGTTCCCTTCACACTCTGCAAAGATCCTTCTACACAGCAGGCTCATCAGAAATGTAGCAACACGCAGTAGTAAGAGTTCCATTCAAATCTCGCAACCATCTCCTAGCAGTGTGTGACCCCAGGCAAGTGGCTTAACCTCTCTGGGCTTCTATCTTCTGGCATATAGAATGAAACTCACAAAGTGAGAGTTCAATAAATATGACTTATGTCACTGGATAAAGCAGCTGATAGCACAGTGACTGCAAGATTCAACCAGCTCTCATCCATTCCTGCCTGTCGTCTGAAAGACAGTCCCCAGGCCTCTCACCTTCTCTCCAGAACCCTATCACTTCCCTGCTTCTTTCCTCCCCCAATCCCCTGCCCCTCAAAAAGAGAAAAGTTGTGTTGGCAAGTGAGGAATTCCAGAGAAGAAAAGCTTTGGGGTGGCTTTTGGGGCCAGTTGATGGGCAGCTGTGATTCCTTGGGTGGCCCAAAGGGCCTAGAAAATGTGAGGATGGAAGTTTGGGGTTTGGGGGAGCAGCTAGCCAGCAATCCCCTCCTCTCAAACAAAAAGGAAATTTCTCTGCTGGGGGCTCGGGTTGGAGTTCTAGGGAATTTACATTACAATTGTTACTAGAAACTCAAGAACTCCAAAAATACCCCACGTAGAAGTCAACCGCTCCTCAACCCCTGAGCTTCCCAACTTCGCTGGTCCTACCAGTTGCTTTATGACTTTGTAACAGACAGAAATGGACTGACTCATGGCTACCAACCAGTCCCCCTCCATCACACACCAGAGTTCCCCTAAGTTCCCATTTGGTTACCTTTCTTAAAAATGGCCTAACCTAGTCCTACAAGATCCCTGCTCATTTGCCATCTTCAGCACACCTGGAATGAGAAATCACCTACACACATGTGTATGTGCAAGCACGCACACACACACAGACAGACAGACACCAGCTCCCACCCCCTACCCCAGCCAGTGACAGAGAGAATAGGACTGGGCCCAGGAGAAGAGGTTAATGGAGTAAAATAGAAACACAGTTCTTCTCATATTTCACTCATTGTGACTTATCAAAACTTTGAGGTTTCTCGGTTCTCACTGACAGTCAGAGCGGGCTTTCTCTAGAGTAACTGAAAGACATACGTTTAAAGAAACCTCGAGCACTTCATATCAAGATGAGTCAGTCAGTGGAGGATGGACGGTGTGTTCGTTGGACCCTGGAGAGCATGTGCTTAAAGGTAGAGATGCGGACACAAGCTCAGGGGCTCAAGAGGCAATTCAGCAAGGAAGGGGACTGAGACAGGGGAGCTCTGATGTTGCACAAGAATCCATTTTCTCTCAGGACTGAAAATATTCAGGTGCAAGCTGGGCACGATGGGGTAGTGGGTGCCTGTCCCAAGATAGAAGACACAGATAGGAAGGTGGGTCCACGTAGACAGTGGAGGGCTCACTGCCGTGCTAACCATCAGGGGCTTCTTCCTTAAGTTTGGGTAGAGAAGTCCTAAGGATTAAGAGCAGATGCAGTCAGGGTTTGCATCTGAGCTATGCCTTAGACGTGTCTAGAAGTAGTGTGCAGTATAACTTGCTTGAGGTGGGAGAAACACCTATCCGTTTATGTGGCTTGATGCCCTTCCTCCTTCCCCCAGGAGCCTTCAAGCCCAGAATCTCCTCCACCTTAGGCATTCCCCCTAGAAAACATTTACAGCAACTTGGTGCATGTAGTAAGATTTCCAGCAGATGGCGCTGTGGCCAAGGACACAGACTCACTAGGAATGTGCTCGCCGTCTTGGGAAAAGGGACCCTTTGCTTGCCTGAGGGTAGGAGGCCGGGCCTCAGGTTCCAGAAGGTTCTTGAATCAAGGTCCCAACCATTTCCCTGTCCCTACTGAGACTGGGGTGCGATGGAGGTGCGACGAGCCTGCAAGTCCTGGTTTGGCATTTATTTTGGGGCTTCACAGATTCTTGTGTGGTCCTGACCCTGCTGTAACTGAGGGTCAGGGGATAAGGAGGGGACTACGTAGGTGAAGAAGGCACAGCTCCTGCGAGTCCTGGTTTGGCATTTATTTTGGGCCATCACAGATTCTTGTGTGGTCCTGACCCTGCTGTGAACTGAGGGTCAGGGCATAAGGAGGGGACTACGTAGGTGAAGAAGGCACAGCTCCTTTCCTCAGGGCTCTTCCAGGCTGTTAGGTGAGTTAAGACTTCTACACAAATTACCTTGTGACCTGTCTTCCATGCTCAGCCCTCGGAAGAAATAAGTTCCGGCCACAGAACAGAACTGAGCGGCCAAGTGCGGGTTCTCCTGCAGCACATCAGGCTTCGTGCGCACCCAGAGTCTCAACCCGCTGTTCAGACCCTAGGAGAGTCTCCTGACCCAGAATGTACCCAGGCTCTGATCCCTGCCCTGGGCGGGGTCTCTTCCCACAGCTGACCTCAGGTTCCCCTTCCACCCATCTCCTAAGGCCCTGGATTTGAAACCATTTAAAGAAGAGAAAACATATACACACACTTCAGTCAAGCAAAAAAAATAGTAGCTACCTCAGGGAATAGTGTCCATCCTACTCACTGCCACAGGACAGTGCTCCCTCGGTCCACCTTGGCGCTTCCTCCTCCATTGAAAAGAAAGCAGGGCATTCATTCATTCATTCATTCATTCACTCATCAGCACACAATTCCTGGGCACTTCCTCTATTCTGGGCTTGCACTGGGTAAAGGGGAAGAGGTCCCTGCCTCAAAGGCAGGCTGAGGGGATGGGCCGGGCGACCCACCAGTCAGCGCTGAATGAATGTTGATTGAATGAGGGTGTGTTGGGGAGCCCCATAGGTCCCTGAAGCACTCACGCATCCATCTCTGAGAGGACAGTGAGTAACACTCCCCTACCCAGCCCTGTGAAATCACTCTATTCCTTTACTCAGATTCCCTCAAGGGATACTCAGGGCTTCATATGTGGCTGCCACTCACCTGGGCGTAGGAGTCGTGCTCCCCAGTGGCTTCTGGCACTGAAGCAGTGCAGGGGACACACACACCACCACCACCTCAGGGCCTTGCTTCCTGCGCGTCCTACAGAGGGAGGGGGCCATTTAGACCCAGAAGTCAAGGACAAATTGCCGCTCGGTCTTTGAGGGCTGGTCTGGGCCCTCAAACTTGGGTGAACTGTACAAGTCCAAAAGAAGCCCTGAAGACCCGAGAAGCAAGAGGCTGCTCTGCATTCTGACCTGCTCCTTTCAGGGACCTCGGGGTGGGGGAGGGCGAGGGGGCGAGGGCGGTGAGGCTGGGCAGGTGGCCGGGTGCTTCGAGGCACAGTCTGGCTCTGATGTTCTGTTTCGGCAAACGCGGTGCCGAGGGCTCATGATGGAAGCTCCCAACGGCATCTCCCATCTCAGCGGCTTTCCTTAATAAAAAGAGCTACCCCTGCCCAGCGATAACTTCCTTGCCTTGTCTCTTTTAGGGAAGCCAATGAAAAGCATGCTGGCCGTGGCTCTCCTTGTCATTTTCCAGGTGAGGTTCGTTCCCTGCTCCACACCCCCGTCCCCAGGCCCACTCCTCCCAAGCCCCGGGTTCTGGCGGAGGAGCTGGGTATTTTCTGAAAGGAAACAGACCCAGACACTAACCCACCCGCCATTCACTGAGTTGACGGCCGCCCCTTTCCATCTGCTGAGTGACCCTAGAAAGCCACAGATGTTCTCTGAACTTCTTTTACTCCATTTAAATGAAAACATGAGGGAAAATAAGTTACCACCACCTTCCCCACCCCACTTCCAATGTCTCCATCCAAAAGACGGAAGTGTGGACCGCAGCTGAGCTCTTGGAGAGAGAAGAGCAGCAAAAAGCAAGGGCTGTCAGGTTACTGGGTTTTGCACATATGTGTGCACATGCGTACTGTGTAAAAAACTTCATGTGTTTTACTGAGCTGAGTAAAAACCTTTGGTGTGGTGGCCTGGTTACTATCCTGTTACCTCAAGTCTGCCTCCCTCCCCAACCCCCAGCCAAAGGCTCCCCTAGAAGCCCAGTTCCCTAGGGGGGTGTGGAGAAAGGATGGGGTCCAGGACCCTAAGGGTGGGAGGGAGTGGGAGGCACATATACTTTATAAGGACCTGAATTCTGCAAGAGCAAAGACCCCCAGTTTACAAGGCTTTGCTTCTCAATCCCAGAAGTAGAGACAGAAAATCTGCCCCTACCGAGTGCCAAAGTTAGAAGAAACTGTAGCTCATGGAGCCCACTCTCCCTCGTTTGTGGGGGCAGGAGCTCTGTTGGATGGGGAGCAGGCCTCTGAGACAAGAACTGGAGAGCCAGTACTCCAGATTTGGCTCTTTCCCAGGTCTGGAGGCCAGAAAGGCCGCTTTCCAAGAGCTCTGGCCAGAGGCAGGCCCCAAGCTGGGCGCTGTTCCCAACATTTCATTTCAGAGGCCCCCCTGGAGCTTGGGCCGCAGCCCACAGCCTGGCCCCCTTCCCCATCACCACTCCCTCCCCTCTCTCTCCCCTGTTTTCAGGACTCCGGAGGGATTATACTGCTACCAGTGGAGCCTGGAAGATTGGGGAGGGGATGAGGAACAGCTGGGCTCATTCTGCTCTTTACTTGGGGGGATGGAGGTGGCTCAGATGGGGCAGGATGTGGTGGGGCTGTGGGCTGCAGAGGTATCAAGTCTCATGGCCCATGGGGTCATAAAAATGGGGGAAGAGATGGCACTACCGGGCGGTAAGGAGCACACTTCACGGAGGCTGGGTGTATGGCCCTTCAGGAAATCCCAGAACCCCCTTATGTCCAGGGACCCCAGACCTAAGGCCTTGGGCCTTACCGTGGGTGGTCTTCCAGGACCCCCAGGCTGTAATCATGTCCAGACAAAGGAAAAGGTGTCGCCAGTGACTTTCCTTTTCGAGATAGCAATGCCCAAAGAAAAGGCTCCTGGACGTTCTCTTGTCCTCCTCCTGTCCCCAAGCAGGACAGTGATGAACCCAGAATTTGGAAGTAAGAAAGACAGAGACAGGATACAGGGAAATTGGGAGACTGGGCTCCACTTCTGGCTATGTCACCTTGAGTGAGCCACATGGCTTCTCCGAATACCTCTCTGTCCTCATCTCTAAAGTCTCTCCAGCTCCCCAGTTGTGTGGAAAACCATCCTGTTGAGCTGCCCAGAGCCCAGTTCTTAGAGGAGGGACCATCAGCTTCCAGATTAGGTCCCAGCCCTGCACGGGCTCAGCTGTCACTGTGTCGCTGTGCACAGACGTGCCCTCCTCCATTGATAAAATCACAGCAGGCCGCCTAAACCTTCACCCTACCCTGCAGACAGGCTAAAAAAAGCCCTGAGCAGCTGAGCCTTGCTGATTGGGATCTGCAGGAAGAGACTGCGAGAAAGAGAGAGGCAGAGAGGTGGGAGGAGAGGGTGGGAGCACAGAGGGAGAGCGGGAGAGAGCTGTGCTTCCTTCCAGGGCCTCCAAGAGGACTGGGTCAAAGCTGCGGAGGCGGCAGCCCCGTGACCAAGTCATCCACTCCTGCGATGGCCATGTTGGCACTGGGCACCCGTCGCCTGAGCTCCTGCTGTGTGCCAGGCACTGTGCCACGGGCCCCAGGGGCCTGTAAAAGCCTTCAGGGTGCTCAGCACCCACGGCCGCGGCAGCTCACGACAAACCAGGGCTCTGTGGCCCTCAGACCCTTTGCCTTCCTCTCCTCTCGCTCCAGGCAGCCCTCAACCTTAACTCCAAGGTGCATTTTCCCTCAAGAGCCGAGGTATTTTGTTAGGCTCCCCTTCTGCCCCTTCTGGAAAGCTCTTTCTACCAGGTTCTACAGGAGGCTCAAGAAGAAAGACACAGGTTTCTGCCCTCCTGGAATTTCCAGCGAGCCCAGAAAAAGCTCCGTGGAGATGAAACAGTGCGAACACCTGGGTTAGGTACCGCACAACAACCGTGTGAAGGGGGTAGTGTTCACCTCCATTTCACAGAGGCGAAACTCAGGCTCAGAGAGATGAAGTGTGTTTAACTAGCTCAAGGGTCATTTGACCCCCAAAGCCCAAACTATTTCCAGTCCGCCGGCCCATGTGAGGTCGAGTCTCTGAGAGTTGGCAAAATCACACCCCGGCTCAGGACATACGTTTTAACAAGATCCCCGGGTAACTCATATACTTGTTACAATTCGAGAAGCACTGATTTCAAACCAAACAATCACCTGGAAAGTTTAGAAAAACAGATTCCTGGGCCCCACTCTCTGAAATTCTGGTGCAGTAGGTCTCAGGTGGGGTCCAGGAATTTGTGGGTGATGTGATGATGCCACACTTTGAAACGACCGCTCAAGGCAATCCCGGGGCAGCGAGGTTCAGACCCACGTAGCTACACTGGATCATGTTCCTGCTTCCTTCCCGCAGGTGTGCCTGTGCCAAGATGAGGTCACAGATGATTACTTCGGAGACAACACCACGGTGGACTACACACTGTACGAGTCTGTGTGCTTCAAGAAGGACGTGCGGAACTTTAAGGCCTGGTTCCTCCCGATCATGTACTCTGTCATTTGCTTCGTGGGTCTACTGGGCAATGGGCTGGTCGTGCTGACCTATATCTATTTCAAGAGGCTCAAGACCATGACTGATACCTACCTGCTCAACCTGGCCATGGCGGACATCCTCTTCCTCCTGACCCTTCCCTTCTGGGCGTACAGTGCAGCCAAGACCTGGGTCTTTGGTGTCCAACTTTGCAAGCTCATCTTTGGCATCTACAAGATAAGCTTCTTCAGCGGCATGCTCCTGCTTCTTTGCATCAGCATCGACCGGTACGTGGCCATCGTCCAGGCTGTCTCGGCCCACCGCCACCGCGCCCGCGTCCTTTTCATCAGCAAGCTCTCCTGCGTCGGCATCTGGATGCTGGCCACCGTGTTCTCCATCCCAGAGCTGCTGTACAGCGGCATCCAGAAGAGCAGCAGCGAGCAGACGCTGCGGTGCTCTCTCATCACGGAGCACGTGGAGGCCTTGATTGCCATCCAGGTGGCCCAGATGGTGGTGGGCTTTCTGATTCCCCTGGTGGCCATGAGCTTCTGCTACCTTGTCATCATTCGCACCCTGCTCCAGGCACGCAACTTCGAACGCAACAAGGCCATTAAGGTGATCATCGCCGTGGTGGTGGTCTTCATAGCTTTCCAGCTACCCTACAACGGGGTGGTCCTGGCCCAGACGGTGGCCAACTTTAATATCACCACCACCACCAGCTGTGAGCTCAGCAAGCAACTCAACATCGCCTACGACATCACCTACAGCCTGGCCTGCGTCCGCTGCTGTGTCAACCCTTTCTTGTACGCCTTCATCGGCGTCAAGTTTCGCAATGACCTCTTCAAGCTCTTTAAGGACCTCGGCTGCCTCAGCCGGGAGCAGCTCCAGCAGTGGTCTTCCTGCCGGCATACCCGGCGTTCCTCGATGAGCGTGGAGGCCGAGACCACCACCACCTTCTCCCCATAGAGGCTCCTCTGCCTGGACTAGAGAGACTCCCACCGTGCCACAGAAGAACAAACACTGGCCCTAGCTACCTCAACCAAGTTTGCTAAGAGATGTGGCTGATAAGCTACCAGATCCAGCAACACTCTGCCACCACAGCTGTTGTCCCCCATCCAAAAGTGAAAGTCGAGAAAGTTCACAGCTCCTGGAGTGAAGGGATAGGTGTTGGTCAGAGTGAGTTGGTGGAAGAGCCTGGGGAGCCTTCGGAATGAACTTTCAGGGGCTGAGTCAGGGTCTTCCAGAAAACGAGGCTTTGTCTCCAAGACCAGAGGTGGTAGGGAGACTTCTTGGCTTGGAAGGGAAAGGGAGACACCGATGGGTCAACTAACTCTCTGAATTCCTCCCTCTGTCTCTCTTTATCCACTGTCATCCAAGCCAGCAAGAAATGGCAGTCTCCAAGCCTCTCTACAAGCACACTTGCCCCTCGCCTGCTGCCTCTCCTCAGGCTGTTGCCCTCATGGGCTCTCCGCAGGGAGGGGTGTGGTGTTTCCTGTAGGCCAAGCCCGTTGCCTCCAGCCGGCCAAAGCCATGTTCCCAGCCAGGGCTCTGGGGAGGGGATGACGCGTGGCCAGACCTTCTCGTGTCTCAGCTCTGCTAGGAGGGAGGATTGGGCAGAGAGAAAGATTAGGGGCCCGGGTGTGGGTGACAATGCTGGCTGCCCAAAGCCAATGAGCTGCTTCTTTGTTCTTTGTCACAAGGACAGAATACTATTCATCCTGTTCTGCTTTCAATTCATTAAGAGAGCACATTTTACTCATATACAAATAAAAGTTTTCCCTTGAGGAAATAAGAGCTTTAAAAGAAAGGAAAAATTTTTTTGGTAAATGGCAAATGAGTGTGTTCTTGTTTTGCAAACCCCCACGCCCCACCTGACCACCCCCATTTCCCTCCTCCCTCACCCCAGTCTTCATTTCTCAGAGATGCTCAGAGCCAGGAGGTCTACTGAGCTATACTCTTGAGTCCATCCAATGACACAGACCTAAGAGGCTAAAAGGTAGGAGGACAGGAAATGCAGGGTGTCCATCTTACAAAGACCCCTCCAGAGCTCGTGGGACAGAACCAAAGCCTTCGTGGTCAGAAATGACCCAGGGACACAGGTCTAGCCACTGCGGCTATGAACTCTCCCTGATCCTCAGCAACATCTACACACTGGTCTGCTCTTCTTTCCTAGCTCAGTCTGCAACTAGAACCCCTGACAGTCCCCTCAGACTCCCAAGACTGGTGTTTATAGGGAGGCCCCTCCCTGGGCTCAGAGACCATGACATGCTGGATTAAGGGGGCTTGAGATGGGACCCGTGTGAGAAGCTGCACCCTTTGGAGGATGCTTGAGAGCCAGGTCTGCCCACGAGTCTCCCTACTGGCTGCTGTTGTAGCAACGAACCTCCATGGCGTGGCTCCCATCATGGAAGGGCAGGGGTCCGGAACAACCACTGCTCCCACACAGGCGCGGGCCCCATGTCACCGAGTGCCCTGATATCTGCCCATAACACTGACTTCTCCAAGCCAGGGAGAAGGTTAGTCCAACCTGTGATGTATGAGGAGGTAGTTGTCTGAAGGACCCAGCGCTGTAATAACTCAGGGAAAGGGCGGGGGCGGTGGGTCGGTGTGGGCTGAGACGCTCGTGCAAAAGGGGATTCTATCAATTTTCTGAAGTGAAAAGAGACTCATGAAAAATGGAGCCTGCCTGATAATGAAGCCCATTCTCTAATCTCGGAAGCACATTAAGCTACCCTCCTCCGAGTGATGAAGCACTGAAGACGATTCGTCAGTCAGCCTCCACGCCGGGAACTGGCACCCTGGGAAGAACGAGCCTAGCACAGGCACAGGCCGTGTGGAGCAGTGATCACAGCGGTGGCATTAAATATTAAAGACACGGCTGCAACTGTGTGTGCGAGTGTGGGGCGAGGGGTGATCCCAGGGTGTGTGAGTGTGAGCCTGCTGGTGTGCACATCCTAATGAGGTAACATGGGGAAAAGATCCTCCATTCCTGAAGGGGAGGGATGTAACAGAGTGGTCACGAACAGGAAGCCAGGCCAACTGCTCAAGCATGCTACCTCGGCTCCAAATACTTTCTTTCCAAAATAACTGGACGTCTCCAAGTATTTACAAAGACAACAAAACCCCCAGCAATGTTAATTCCCGCAAATTGCTCTATCTCAGGAGCTCTGACCTCAGCTCGTTGCTGGCCTGGCCCTGCTCCTTTGACAACACTCTCATGTGCCTACCCTGAGCTTTGGGGGACCCTGGGGAAGAAGAAACAGACCTGCTGGGGAGGCCCGCCAATGTGTCTCTCTCTCCCTCTCTCTCTCCCCATCTCTCTTTCTCCTCTGCTTCATACAACTGCCCCCATCTGCCCAGGTTCATGGCCTTCACAGCCCCTCAGCATCTCCTACAGCTTACCCCTTCTTTCCATAGCCAGCCCCTTGTCCCCTCCTCCACCCTAGCTGCAACCTCAGGCCACTACTCTGTCATTTCAGCCAGCAGCACCATGCTTCTCAAATCATGGACTCACAGAGCTGCAAGGGATCTCAAAGATCAGCTGGTCCAATGCCCAATCATTCTCTAGAAGGAGAAATTGAGGCCCAGAGGGAGGAAGCGACTTGCTCGAAGAGACATTGCAATGTAGGGATGTTGGATAAACTTGCTTTGAGGACCTGAGGATCTGGCAGGACTGCTGGCGGGGAGTGCAGAGGCTCTGGAGCCCAGTCGACTTTGAATGGCATCTCTCCTGCTTCCCAGCTGTGTGACCTTCAGTTGTTGCTCGGCTGCTCTGTGTCAGATTTCTTGACTGCAAAAGGGAGAGGATTTGCAAAGGCCTGGAATGCTGAGTGTGGTGACGAGGAGCACAGACTCTGCAGCCAGATTGCCTGGTTTGAATAGCAACTGCACTACTCGGGCTGGTTACTTAGTCTCTCTGTGCCTCAGTTTCCTAATGGGGATAACCACAGTACCTACCTCCTAGGCTCGTCGTGAGGGATAAAATCATTCGTACATGTAAAATGCTTAGAAATCCCAATAAAAGTGTGGTTGGTAATTATTAAGAGATGTTTAATAAATGGTAGCTTAAAACAAAAAGGTTGCTAACTGCAAGGAAACCAAATTCAATTTCTTAGCTTCATGTTCATCCTCATACAATTTATAACTCAGGCTGGAGGGCAATTTTGAGATGAGTTAGTCTGTCCTTCCCACTGCTTGTACAAGTGAGTCGATGAGGCTCCAAGAGGGAAGTTACCCTACTGAAGTTTCTCGGGAGCTCTTGGCAATGCTAGAACTTGAACCCAAACTCCAAGCTCCCATCCGGAGCTCTTCCCCCAGACTCGTCTGCACGCCCCTACACATCCATCCTGGCATACACCATCCTCATCCCAGACCTTCCAGGCCTTCTCTGACAGGCACCATCCCTCTTGTCCTGTGGCCAGATCCTTAAGGAGAACCTCCCCTCTCCCCCTTTCATAGGCCCCACGCTTGCCATTAGGTCTGGGAAAATGAAGTGGGCCCAAAGGAAATCGGACAACGGATCTTTTGAAGAAAGGATTCTCTCTGGGAGTTAGGTTCTCGGTTTCGTTTCTGTGTTGAGGGTGAACAATTGGATGGAAAAGAAACAGGCCTATGGGGGTGGGGGTAGGGTTAAGGCAAATGAGATGTGGGGAGCAATTCTGAGTGGGGAAGAAAAGGCGTGGGAAGATGGGGCAGGGGTGGTTCTAGGGACTATACAAGGTTGGGGGCCGGACTTGGAGAGTAGTCTAAGTGGGCAGAAAAATACCCCCACCTACACACACACACACACACACACACACAGAGCTTCCGGGGCCTTCAGATCTCAGGTAGGGAGAAAGAAGCTGTATTAGCCTCAGAGACAGGTGAGGCCATGGCCTTCTTTGCCGGGAGAGGGTTAAAAATGACCCAGTTTCCTTGGTTTGAGCTCCTAGAAAAATTCCAGGGGGAAAAAGAGGGTGGGGCCTCTCCTTCCACTCAAAAGAGGGACACTGGCCTCCCTCCCAGGAAAGCAGATGTCCCAGAGGTGTGGCAGGGAGTAGCGGCCTCATTACCCATAACCTCCCACCCCCTGCATTGTCATGTCTCGGGCCCAGAAAGAGACGCAGACCAGACATCTGCTACGGAAAATGCTACGTGGCCCCTTGCCCACCAGCAAGAACAGCCCTGGACTAGCGCAACTCAACTGACCTCCAAAATCAGAAATGGGGGGACGTGAATGGGCTCTGGCCCAATTCACACTTCTCTACTGCTGCCAGTTCCTTCCCTCCCACGTTCACTTTGAGGATGAATATAACCGTTTTTTTGTTTTTTTTTTTTTTTTGGACAGATCCTGCCTCTCAGGTTTATTTGTACAAATAGCACAGGAGGACGCCAGCCCTGTGCAGACAGCAGCCCAGGGGTCACGCCAGTCCTTCCATCCTCACGTCCGCAGACAGGGGCTTCCACACTGAAGCCTTCGTAGGGTCTTGGGCACCTTGGGAGCTAGAGCCTGAACCTGAGCTGGAGGAGGAGCTGCAGCCTCAGCCTGGGCCTTGGTTTGAGCCTTGGCCTTGGACTTTGGCCGGCAGAGCCTGAGACCCTTGGCAATGCAGGCGTGAGCGTGTTTCCCAAGCTGGGGATGAGCAATGTAGGCAAGTCGACTGAGCTTGCAGCTGCAGCCTTTTGGGACCTTGGGCTTGACCTCCTTGGGCTTTACGAGGGCCTTCATAGCCTCAGCACGGGCACCCCGCCTTGGCATTGCTGACCTGCATCTTCTTCAGGCCCTTCTTGTTGTGCTTCTTGACAAAGTGCATGTTCCTCAGGAACTTGGGGTCCACCCCTTAAGAGATTCGTATCTTTATGATCGAGGTTCCTTGATGCCATTTCTGTGCCATTTTCGGGACTGGTTGTGAGTGGTGTGATTCTTGGACTTGGCCATGTCTGCACTGAAGCCTGTGGCTCCTCAAGCGCCTGGGACCGGAATCTATAACCTTATTTTTTACTATTGTTCACTAACCCCAGGGAATTCACTTGCTGGGTTGTGCTATGTGTCACAGTGACCACTGCAGTTTGGCCTCCAGTGTTTCATCTCTGGGTAAATAAACATCTCCCCTCGCACGAGCAGGGTGGGATCAGGCTTTACCGATCTCTGACCCGCTCCATCGCCTGAGGGTGCAACAGGCCCAGAGGTCAGACATCCACTGGCAAGAAGACAGGTGAAGAAACACAACTTTCGTCCTCTCATGCCCGTGTTAGAGCTTGCTTAGGCCAGAACAGTTTAAATGTGTTCTAAGTCAATAGCTGACATTGTGAAATTTAACAGATGCTGCAGATGAAATGCCCTCAAACCCTTTTCCAACATTTAAAAAGAGGCCTTGAAATGCACGCACATTTATCTCATATGGTTTATGCAAACTGCACTCGAGCGACTGAAGCAGGAACATGATCGTGCACAGAGATGGAGTGGTACATTCTTCCCAGGCCCGGGGGTGTTCCTGTGGCATGGGCAAAGGCCTGTGCTCAAGCCAGAAGTCACCTACAGGGCATCCGCTCTGTCTCCTGCCTGAAAGCTTGGGTTTCCTCGCCCACGGCTGACTCCCTAGACGCCACTGTCTTGCCTGTACTAACACCTTTTACCACCTGCCTTCTTCTCCACCCCCATTTTAGGGATGCCCAGCTGCCGGCAACATCTGGACTTGGAAGTGCAGGGAAAGGGGAGCAGGGAAGACTATAGGAAGCTCCCAGCCTGGGTGGTTCATGGAGACACCCCTCTACTTCACCTTCATCTTCAGAACAAGACACAGGTCTAGACCCATCTGGAAT